ACACTCGCCTTTCTATGAGAGAGGTGCTACTCCTTGTCATTTTAAAGTTGTAAATGTGGCATTTTGTTGACTTACATTTCCACATTTTGTTTTTATAGTTTATGTTCATGAATGCTGGCCCACAATCTTGTTGATAACCTTAACATGGAGATAACCAGAGTTGACTTAGTTTTGCCCTTATATTTCTGAGTATTTAATTATTGGAATTGCAAAAACATTTTGTATACATTTAAACAATTATCCCTCTGTGTTAACATATATACTGGTATTTTGTTGTTTATAATTATTTTTTCATAAGGACATATTGAAAACCAGAGTTGTTGTAAATGGTGATAGAGGATCATTGCTTATAATGAAATGAATTGGTGTCATGTGAACATATTTACTAGTTGGTTGGTTGTTTTCACATAAAAACCACTTTTATGTCATTTTGTTTTGCTATTGCTAAAGAACTGTGCATATTCTGAAAATTTTAATCACCAGCAGATGACTTCAACTGTATCAGATAGGCTAAATATGTAGATCTTAGCTGATTTGTTAATTTTTCTTGGTGTTTGAATGTGAAGACAATGCCTTTGTGGGTGCTCATGTTAAAATAGTTGACCAAAAGTATGGATTTTGTTTTGAGCTTGATAGACCGATCAGTGATTGTAAATAGTTGATTACATGTGGGCATTGATCTCCTTTGATTTATTTGTAGTACAAATGTATTTTTTTTAGTTGTTGGTAGTTGTAATTTTGTAAAGTTATTTAGCTGAGTCTGTTTTTACTTTGAATATTGGTTTAAAAAAAACAATATTGAACAATTTTGTTTAAACTTTGAAATTTTCATTGCAAGAGAAATGCGTTGGAAAGAATGACTTCATTGTTTGTGACATGAACACTTTGTCCTGATAGGAATGTACACAACAGAGCTTATTGCAGATTGTTTCCATTGCCAATCTTTATGATCAGATTCTTTTCATTTCATTCTAATATGTATGTCATCTGAACATATTTACTTAGAATGTTTTCTTGTACCTTCTATCAATGGTTTGTCTTACACGTTGCATTCATAACTAATTCACCAAGTCATAATATATTGGTGTGTCCACTTGGTAGTGCAAAGAAACATCTTTAATACACAATGTATGACTCGCATGGAATTTGAATAAATTTTTGACTTATAAAAATTAACATTTTCAAAGCAGACTGTACATTTAAGGTGAAAAATTTCTTTTTGTAATGAATTTTTTTTGGGGGTTTTACTTTAGACATAACTAACTAGACCAATCATTAGTTTATTAAAATAGAATATAATAACTGGCAGTAGAACTGTGTATGCAAAAAGCGAAACATAGATCATGATATTTATTTTTATGAACAATGACAATTAATTTGATAAAATTTGATCTGTTGTTATGTGGGTGCATTTAGTTGAATTCCCAGAAGAAAAATATAAATAATTTAAATGGGATACATGTTGAAAGTTGCTTTGTATAGAAAATAAAATTGTTTGATTGATTTTTTCTTTTAGTGGCGCCTGTACGGTGAAAAGCCCCAATTAATTTGGTGTATTTTATCCCTCTATCACTTTGGAAATTTCAAAAAGTGGAAAAGCTAATAGGAAATTCTAATGCACCAAATTTTGTGAACGAGACAGCTAGAGGTCACTTAGTAAGTCCGCAGGATACACATTTGAGACCAAAAGAAAATCTGCTGCAGAGGACATGCGTAAACAGCGAAGAAATCTAAATCGACCACTGGCGGACAATGGTTATGCCAGCGCTGGATGTGGCAAAAAATGTAGGTCCCAAATGGGGCTGCGTAGCCACGGGAAATACTGCATTCCTCATTAATCTGCGGACTTGAAGACAAGCCTTTTCACCAACGTAAAAGGCATCTTCAAAGCTCTACGCAATTAAAGTGTAAACAATTTATAAATTACGCATAATACAATAACCTTTTTTTTTCTTCCATAACAAATCAATGTACGTAAGTGTTTATAAGACTGGTACTTTTTGAATAGAACCAAAATTATAATGCTCCAAGAGCAAAATTACACTAAAAGTAGAAACACATTAGTAGCTTTAGAAGGCATTGCCAAATTACAAATTAAAATCGACTAATATTTATGAATTGCACTTTGATACAGGACTAAAATTGTGAATAGAGGCCTACAATTTTATAGCGCAACTTTCCTACTTCTAATCTCCCGGAAGAAGGGAAGTTCTATTCCACTCATCATGTACAGTGACATGGAGAACTAACAGAACATCAAAGCAACTTTTCAGATTGATAGTTTCATTTCTCGATCTGTCGATCATTTTCATTATTACAAAAATGTTTCTTCCAAAATGAGTGTCGGGTAAATATCTTTCCCAAATCATTCAACTGTACGTTCGGTCAGCTAGCCGTTGTGGCATTTTCTTTGCCAGAGTTTCAAGATGGTCTTCCCATGAAAGCTTGTTGTCAACACTGACCTCCAGATATGTGTAGAAGTGAAAAATGCGAGAGACGAGATTTGTTACGCACAGAGCTTGATGAGCTTATGCCGCTTATTTCATCGGCTCCAGAAGCCTTTGTTACGTTTTACTCATCTAAATAGTAAGGTCACCTCAACTTCGCTACACAATTGATGCATGGTTCTTGTTTTTCCTTAGTAGACTGATGAACATGTCTTTTTGAAGGTCAATAAAATCTTTGTCGAATTGAAAAGTCATTAGTTTGTTGTTGAGTTTCAAATCATCTGCCTCATTTTGAGCGAGTTTTGAGGAGCAGCTGGTTTTCTTTGATCCCTCCCAGCATACTTTTAAGTTATATTTTGAAAGAAGTTCTCAATCTTTTCTTTGTATGTTTTTTTTCCCTTCAATTTTTTTTTTAGTGCTTTTTAAGCATGAAGAAAATCTTGCAATGTTCAGAAAATCTTGCAATGTTCATGCTCGCTGTATTCAAACAGTTAAAAAAAAATTTGCTTGAGTGATTACTGCCAATAATACTTCCAATAATCATTTTGTATTGATTGCAGTTGTTGGTAGCTTGAAGTTCATAGATCTAGCTTCTGGTATTCAAGCTGTAAATGTGGGGACCTATTTACTTGCATTACAGTTGCATGGGCCGACCTGCCCCTCTCTTTGTAGTTTTGTTTCTAGATCTCTAGAGGTTTAGGAATTCCTCTCTCCCTTTTTTTGTGAACGTGATAATGGTTATAATATCCCAGAGTTCTTTGCGTTGTTTCTTTTGAAGAAGTTGCAAACTGTGATGACTGATTCCAAATGAGGATGTATACACATTGGATTGTATTCCCGAGTAGTGCTATAGCCTCCAGATCCACCAGTCGGTTTAGTTCACGCTATGGAGTATCGAATGCAGTATCGTGACTTTTTTTCATGACAAAATCCAAGGCTATCAGAAAGAGGAGTGGGGATAAGAAACATCTTTGTTTTACTCAATGTTGAAGAACTCTGTTGTTCCATCACCTGTTTTAATACAATAGCTTGATCTGCTGTCGGCTTCAAGAGTCTGTAGATGAAAGGCTCAGAAGAACAAGCAGGCTTCCGAAGAGGCAGATCATGTGCAGGGCAGATCCTCGTTCTGTGAAATATCATAGAACAAAGTCTCGAGTACCAACAACGGCTAACGATCAGTTTCGTAGACTTTAAGAAAGCGTTTGATAGTGTCCACCGAGAATCACTATGGAAAATAGTTTAGAGAATACGGCATCCCAGAAAAATTCGTCCAGATCCTACAACATCTATACAGTCGGTCTAGTTGCTGCATTAAAACAAGGAACAACAGTTTTTTTTTAGCATCGAGACAGGTGTGAGACAGGGGTGCATCTTATCTTATCTTCCTTTTCCTCCTAGCCATCGACTACATAATGAGGAGAGCAATGAACCAGATTGCCTTTGGTATTCCATGGCGTGAACAAAACCGAATGACGGACTTGGACTTTGCTGATGACGTTGCACTACTCGGGGCTATAAATAAATGCATACAAGAAATGACGGAGAGCCTAGATAGCCAAAATTGGCCGCATAAACTTGGATAAGACTAAAATTTTGTGAGTGGGATATAAGGCAAAGGGTGCCACCGTCAGACTTGGCGAGTCAAAGCTTGAAGAGCTGGACAAGTTCACTTACCTTGCAGCATCATAACAAACGATGGAGATGCCCACCGTGATGTAGCGTGCCGAATAGGAAAGGCAGGGAGCATTTTCCAAAGGCTGCAGCCTATTTGGACAAGCCATTGGACTAGAGACAAAAATACACCTTCTCAACACAATCGTTATTCCAACTGCAACATATGCATGTGAGACATGAAAGTCATCTGTCAAAATTGAGAAAAGACTAAATGTGGCTCAACAAAAAATGGCTGAGACGGATTGTTGCAGGATACCATAGTCTTGCTATTTTCCAGAGTGATTCTCGTTGGATGCTATTTAACGTCTTTTTAATCTATCAAACTGATCCACCATAAGCCTTTGTTGGTATTCCAGATGAAAATCTGCTCAGTTCATGATCTGCTTTTTGTGAAGCCGGCCGGCTCTTCTCTGAGCATTTTGTTTACAGCTGCTTGTAGTTGTCATGACAGAACAGTACTGAACACTTGACCTGGAACTGAGAAGGGGGATGCCTCTCCATATGTTGCAGTCCACCAGGTGGCTCTCATTGGGAGGTTTTATTCTCATTCATTTTTGCCAGTTTTCAGGGACTTGAGACTTTCACCAGAACAGATTTAGGAGATCTGCCATTCTACCAACAATGTATTGTCCTCCTTATTTTAGCATTCCTGCTGACACTATGTCTAGATAACTGAAGGCTTAACTGTGCCCTTGTAAAAAAAATAAAGTAAATAGGCTGCTTAAATATAGATAGCCATTACCCATTACATGAAAAAACAATATGCCAGTTTGCCATGGACAAATGAATTATTGATCCAAAGACAAAGTGTTGACACATCTTGAATGAAACAGAAGATTTGTTTGACAGTAAATGGATAGAAGAAACATGAGACTTCAAATACTCTTGACCTTTCTTTTTATTTTGAATTTCAATTTCATCTTATACAAATATTGGCCTTAATGGGAGAAGTATTTTTTTCCTGTTATCATAATGTGATAATGAGAAGTTGTATTTAAAAACAAATAATAAAAGATAGAACAAATATAAACATTTGTATCACTTCACTGTATAAATTTATAATATGATATATACAGTGCTCATAGCCTCTTGTAAAATTTCTAAGGTATCAAATAAATAATAAAACATTCAATACATATTTCAGTTCCCATATTATTTCAGTAAATTAAAAATTAAACCCTGTCAATAATTAATTTTAGTAAAACTAATTTAAATATTTAAAAAATGCATTGATTAAAAAGCTAGATACCTCAAAAAAAAAAAAAAAAAAAAAAAAAAAAGCTGTTACTAAAATTCAGCTGAAAAGTAACAAAATTTAGGCTTAAAAGCTGTACTTGTACTTCTACTGAACCATTCTGCTCACAGGAATATTTGTATTTATTTTCAGGAATCTCTGTTATTTTCAATACTGCATTATAGAAAGTTGTACACAGAGATTCTATTTCTCATCAAATATTTTCTGTATCCCGACTTTCCATGAAAAGAAATGGATGTAAATTAAACAATAGCAGAAACATTACAGAACAAAAATCACAGGAAATGACAAAATATCATTCCAGTTCAGTTCACTTGAAACAAAGTTCATTTGATCCATGTTGGCGTGGGCTCCACTCCTCGTAAAGCAAAAAATGCCTCCAGCTTGGAGTCAAACTCTTTTGGTCTTTCATTGGGATCTCTGTAGCGAACAGTCATGTTGTTCCCCAGGTATTTAATCAGCTCACACGTCTCAACAAACTGCTGAAGTTTCTGCTTGTACTTTTTGCGAATGTACGGAGAGGATTTGGGATTGAATGCTATGGAGAATTAGAATGCAATAACTCTTGAGAAAAAAAGTCTATAATACAGTCATTGTAAAAAATTAGAACAAATATTTTTATTTTCTGAATGGAAATATTAATTGGAGCAACTTTAGTTTGATGTTTCAATGAGAGAGAGAAACATGTAGGGATATAGGAGAAAAACAAATATGACTAAGTCTTGACAAGTTGTAGCCCAATTTACCTTTCAAGTGATAAGCTACATAGATAAGTGCTGAGCGTGTTGAAGAAATGAAGGGGTACTTAGGTTTCACATTTCCAGCAGCTGTAAGAGCCTTAACCATGGCAATAGCACAGGTTTGTTCCATAAAGCCTAACATAGGAAGGCTTGCAAAAGGTAGCTCTTCTGGTTTTGGAGGTTGTTTGTGTGGTAACTTCATGTTGGCATAATTTTCTGGTAATCTATATAAAAAAAAAAAAGGTTGAAATATTTTTCAATGCATTAAAAAACAATTGATGGTCTGTTTTTTTTAACTGTCTGTGTCAACACAACCTTCAAACTGATCTTTTTTTTTTGCATATTAAATACACAAGAGAGAAAACTGAACTCATTCCATTTGAGATGTCTCCGTAGGATCTTGAATGTCACATGGAAAGAAAAAGTGTGCAATACTAAGATCCTTGCGCGATCAGCCATTCCCAGCATCTTTACAGCCCTCAGACAATGCCATTTGTGCTGGCTTGGACATGTTCGCCGGATGGAGGACAAGCGCATCCCGAAAGTCATCCTCTATGGACAACTTGCGACTGGCACAAGAAAAACTGGTCGCCTCACCTCTGTTACATAGATGTAATAAATTGTGACCTCAAATCAGTGAACATCAATACTGACAATTGGGAAGACATAGCTCTAGACCACAACAGATGGAGAGAGACAGTGACCAAGAAAGCTATTGACAGTGAAAGTACATGGGTCTCAGCTCAGGAAGAAAAACTTACTATCTGAAAAACAGCCAGCTCCTCTACCACCAAAGCAAAAGCCACCTTAATCTGCGCTATCTGTGGATGGGAGTGTCTCTCCAAAATAGGTCTCCACAGCCACATGAGGAAGTGTGCTCTGAGATGAACCATAGTCGTTCTACGACTGATGATTAATGAGGATTAAATACACATGCATATGTTGGTCTCCTTCAGGTGTATGGTTCTTCTCATAGACCTTTTTCTATGTGACCTTAAGAGTCCTATTCTGGACAGACACTCATGTACTCATACAAGGTAGTGTTTGCTTTGGCTTGCCTTTCTTCCAAAACTTTCTTTGTCACCATCTCTCTCCACATAGTGCGGACTATGTCTTCCCAGCAGTCAATATCGATGTCACTATTTTGAGATCACATTTCATTACATCCAAATGTTATACAACTAGATGTAATGGGGAATCTGTGTTTTGTAAAGTCTTTGTGTAATAAAAATTCCTTTTCAATATCTTATTACTTCACAGTTCCATTAGATGTTTTACAGTGATTTCAGTTTTTAACTTCCAAGTAATTCTTCCACAAGTTCACACTTAAATATAATTCTTTAAAATTCACTGAAACTCTCAAAAATCAAGAAGTAAACAAATGACTAGTAAAATCTATCTTAATGAGCTCTGTGAATACATGTCATTTATTTATAGGATAAAAGAGCTTTGACTCACTTCATAAATTTGTAAAGTTTTTCTTCACTTTCCATCAGGAAAACATTGCCTTTATACTCAGCCATGAATTCTTGACTTCCTGGAACCAGAGCATCATATCTGCCAAGAAAATAGAGATAATCCTATTTTAAGAGATTAGGTAAGGGAGCTAACACTAATAGTATTTCCTTTCAATAGATCTGGTACAAAGTGACAATGTTTTTCACTTCCACACATTTGATAAAAGAGAGAAAAGGGCTATGAGTTTGGCTACATGCTTTAGCTCATTTGATTTCTTCATTACAAAGTTGGACCAAGTCCAGACTGTACACTTTGAATCATCCAACTCTACCTTAAAGCAACAGTCCATAGGTACACACAAATATTTTCATTTTTTTAACACTCTGCTAAAATGTTTCTACAACATAAATATATAAAACAGAAAACAAATAGGTATTAAAGCAAAAAATATTAACCTCATCTTTCCATCAAGATAAGTTACTGGACAATATCCAAGTATCTGGGCCTCTCTTCCATTCAGTTCTGCTTTTGTAATTCTGTGAGGAAGTAACACTGGTTCAGGTAACTGTCTAGGAGCTAGGGGAGGGACATACTTTTCAGGCTCAGCTAGGAACATTTCAAGCTCTTTCTTTCCAGCCATCTTGTAATATTTGCCTAGTCAGAATCAAACGTTTAAATTAAAAAAAAATAATTATCTTAATTTTCATCATAAAATTATATGACGTTAAAGTTATTAAAAAATGCAAGTTAGGACAGTAGAGAAAAAAAAAAGGATTTTAAAGCATTCTTGATAATTTCATAAATAGTAAAGAATGGTTCATTTATATGACAAAAAAAAGTTTCTTTCTGTTTCATTTATATGACAAATATTGTTTATATTCTAGAGTTTTCTTTACCTCTAAATTCAGCAGCAAATTCAAATGTTGTAGTATTAGAGCAGTCAATCAATTCACCCCGTTCTGCCAAACTAACTGGACAGTATTGACCATAAACACCAACTCGTTGATTAAATTCAGAAGGTGTAATACACAAGTCTGCAATTCCTGCAGCTTGAGCTGGAACAGAACATACAATGTCACAATTCATTTAGCCTTGCGTTAGTTGTACAATGTATTTAGTGCTACTTGCCAAAAAAATGTTGTACTTCTTATCACAAAGAGTTCTTCAATGTTTTAAAAATGTACATACTAATTCTTATCTAAGGGATTACATTCTAACCAATGTCATATACATATATATTATTATTAAAATGTAGCCATGTTCTATAATGCTTAAATGTAACAAGACTGTTTTAATTTTTTTCATTAGGCCAAAGAAAACTTTAGAAAACAAATAGGTTTCATAACTGAAATCTTTGCAACTGATTAAAACAAATAGGTTTCATAACTGAAATCTTTGCAACTGATTAAAACAAATAGGTTTCATAACTGAAATCTTTGCAACTGATTAAAACAAATAGGTTTCATAACTGAAATCTTTGCAACTGATTAGATGGAGAGATTTAGAAGGTTTCCATTCAGCCAATGAAATAGTTCAGAGATTTGGCTACAATAAGCACTTACCATCTCCTATTCTCTGTAAATAGTCTTGGATCCTTCTAATACTTTGTAAAGCCAACTCAAGACCTCTGTCCCACACCCACCATTTGGACTGGTCAGCTTTGATTTTAGAATAGTTCTGATGTTCTTTCTGATACCAGTTGCGAACGTCAACACATTCTCTCTGATAACAGGATAATTTGATGGCTAAAATTTGAGCACTGTCATGAAGTACATGAGGCCTGCAAAACAAATAAAGCATTGAGTTGTAAAACTATTAAGACTATACAGAAAAGTACTTACACATCCTGTAGATCATCAAATGAATGGGTAATAGAGCAGTTGTGAGTTTTTAAATGCAATAAAATGAATCTTAGAAAAGTAATGTTAAACTCAATACAATCATTGTGTACCTTTACGTATGCTCTATTTAATCTACATCCTTACGTCAGCTACATTCAATCTACATACATAATGTTTTATAAACATTTTTGTTTTAGGGACATATAATTTGATCACAAATTTACTAAATTCATTAATAATGGTTACAAATTGCAATAAACACAAAGTAGGTCTCCAATAAGTCAACATAGTGGATTACATTGAATTTTAAAAAAATCTTTTTTACAGTGCTATAAAAATAAAATATTTATTTAACAATCTTGAAGCAAAACAAGATTAAAAAGAGACCTTGTATTTTCACACAAACACATAGGTGGCTTCTAAAAGTACCTACATTAGTACATACCATAGAAAGTCTTCTTCAGATTCTATTTTATGTTCAAATATTTAAACAAATCAATTTTCAAATAAAATCAGATTAGATAGGATTATATCATTGAAAAAAATAAAATCCAGTATGGGGATCAAACCCACACCTTCATGTTATTAGTGTGATGCAGCCAGTTTTGTGAATTTCCAGACTTTTGAACAACTTGTTCCTTCTACCCACCTTCCACTCTCCCCTCTTCATGAAAAGAGTTTAAGATAATTTTCGGATTTGAAAAACAGCATATTTAATTTTAAAAAAAGGGTGTGCTTTTAGGAAGCAGCCACTGCATCCAGATTTTGTAAGCTACAAAATATATTAGGGCATGGTGACAGATGTAAAGTGCATGGCTTCCAACCCAAGCAACCCCATGTTTAAATCTTGGTGAACAGTGGGATTTTGAGCATCAGGATTTTTAGATGCTCCTGAGTCCAACAAACTCTTATTAGTTGGAGAATCTCAAGTCAGTTGCTCATTGTACTGGCCAGATGACACCCTCATTAGCTGTCAGCTATAGAAA